TGTTTCACAATATTAGGCCATGGCTCCAACACAACGTATATGAGAGTATTAACAACAACAATGAATGGAAAATGCTCAATAGAATAGATATTCCAAAAATTACAACCATCGCATCAACGTATTAACAACTTCCACAACCTCAACATCAAGTAGCTCAATAATGGAAAACAACGTGTAACCAAAATATTAGATAAGACTACTCACAATAAAGGAAACAATCTTCAACAATAAGTATCAAAATAACGGAAGTCAACAAACAAAGGGAAACATGAACAATTAATTCAGCAATGATAATTAACAATGAAGAGATAACATGTGACAATAAAGGGGCATCAAGTTCAACTAAAGCATGGAGCAATTTAGCAAATAAGATGTAGAACAATTACTAAATAGTTCAACTAAAGCATTTAAGGATAGTCTAACACAATAAAAGATGATTTAACTATGAAAATCTAGAACATAATATGGCATTTCAATTAAAGCATGAAAATAGTCTAAGTAGCCTAAACCGGTCAAGTACTACGTACAACCCGTGCATCCACTCGTCACCTTGCGTACGCGGATTTCACTTAGCACAACTGAATCAACAATACCAATCCTAAGGGGTAGTTCCCCCACACGAAGTTAGGCAAGACACTTACCTCAAATAGGCCAATTCACAGCTCGGAAATAACCTTTCCTTTAAAGTCCGCCTCCACACGGCTCAAATCTAACAAAAATCGACTCAATAACATCAAACAATGCTAGGGAATTCAATTGCAATAGATAAAGTTAAGATTTTTACGTTTTTCCCAAAAACTCAATAAAAGTCAACCTGGGGCACGCTAGGTTGAAATCTGAGTTCAATAGTAGATTCCGTCTACCCATGACCCCACGAGTTCATATATACGATTAGTTTCAAAATCCGAGTCCAAATCGACTCTCAAAACTCAATTTCTTATTTTTCAAAAACTTGACAAAGTTTCATAAATTTCTACTTTGATTCACATGATTTTGATGTTACAATCTAAGATAAGTTGATAGAATATGATTAGAAATAGATTAGGATCACTTACCCAAGGTTTGTAGGTAAAAATCACCTCTCCAAGTAGTCTCCTGCCGAATCTAGGAATCAAAAATATGAGAATGAGTTTAAAAATCCTGTCTCCAAACCCTTTAACCAGCTACAGATGTCGCATTTGAGACACAGGGTTCGCATTTACGACCCTCACAATTGCGAACCAGGGCTAGCATTTGCGACCCTGACAGACTTAACTTATATCGCAATTGCGATGAAGTCTACGCAATTGCGAGCTGGGACATAATGCAAATGCGAACAAATTATTCGCAATTGCGAACATTACCAAATCCTACTGTCTTCGTAAATGCGAAGATGATTGCATTTGCGACATTCACCCTTCACGTGTCATCATCGCATTTGCGAGTCTGGTGTTCGCATTTGCGACACCAGACACCATGCATCAGTTTTCTGCAGATTTCCATCAAAACTCTTTCGGAATGTGTTCGAAACTCATCCGAGCTCTTGGGCTCCAAACCAAACATGCACACAAGTCCAAAAACATCATACGAACTTGCTAATGCGATCAAAATACCAAATAACACCTAGTAATATGAATCAGACACCAAAACGAATGAGATTTTCAAAGAAACTTAAGAACTTTAAATTTAATAATAGGACGTCTGAATCACGTCAATCAACTCCGTTTTGCACCAAATTTTGCAGACAACTCATAAATACTGTAATGAACTTATACCAAGTTCCAGAATCAAGATCCGAACCTGGTAGCAACAGAGTCAAACTACGGTCAAACTTGGGATTTCTTTAAGCCTTTAAACTTCTAGGTTTCAACAAATAGCGATTCAAACTAGGGACTTCCGAATTCGATTCCGAACATACGCCCAAGTCCCAAATCATGATACGGACCCCCTGGGACCGTCAAAACACTAATCCGAGTTCGTTTGCTCAAAACATTGACCGAAGTCAACTCAAATGAGTTTTAAAGCACGATTTTGCATTTTCGTCAATTTTTCACATAAAAACCTTCCGAAAAAAAGACACGGACTATGCACGAAGATCAAGGAAGGTTGAATGGAGCTAATCGAGGTTTCGAAACACATAATTAGGGATTAAAACTATGGATGACCTATCGGATCATCACAATTGATAGTCAAATATGTCGCTTTCTTTCGTTTGATTGGCTCATGCTCTCGATGAATTTCATGGTTAATGTTCTTCATTTTTAAAAGCTTTTGTGGTGAAAAATTGACTTTAGTAGTTAATTTGACAAATTAACATCATATTTGACTAAAATAACTCAAACAATTGATACAGTACTATAAAATATAAAATTGAAGTAATAAATTAAAATATCAATACTGATTTGATAGTCAAATTTCTTTGTATTGAAAAAAAATTCAAATGAATCTGGTGCATAGGAGAAACAAAGGGATAAAAAGTGAGACTGTTAATATACAAAAGAAATTATATGCCTCTCATGTTTCATAGAACGATTAGTTCACCTTTTAGCATAAAACTTATATTCCCTCCGTTTTAATTTATATTAACCTATTTAACTGGCACAAAGTTTAAGAAAAAAGAGAACGACATCTAAATTTGGTGTATAAAATAAGGCACATATATTTTGTGTGATTAAAATCATTACATAAAGGTAAATTCTTTTCAAACATGAAAATAAGTCATTCTTTTTGGTACGGGCTAAAAATGAATTAAGTTCGCAGAAAATAAAACGAGAGGAGAATATTTTACCAGATACAAACGAAAATATACCAATTATACCTTAATCTGAAAATTAGTTGGAGGCAATTAGTTATATCTAGTCCCGTAAGAAAATAAAAATTCTTTAGTTCATCCATCAGTGACATACAAGTACTACATCTAGTTTATTTTATATGACATTATTTTTTTAGCCTATTCTAAAAAATGATAATATTTGAAAATAATTTAATTTTAAATTTTTTTATCTTACTCCTTTCGGTTTTATGATTTACAATATTTTGTAGATTTTATTTTATGTGCAGTTATTTCTTTAATAGTCTATTCTTAAAGAATAATATATTCATATTTAAAAAAAAATTAAGTGATTACCTTTAGGGTGTGTTTGGTATAACGGAAAATATTTTCCGTGGATAATATTTTTCAAGAAAATGTTTTCTTGGAAAACAAGTAGTAATCTTATTCATTTTCCGGTGTTTGGTACGCAAATTAAGAAAAATGACTTCTCAAGAGTATTCATAAATAATTTAGATATAATAAACATGAAGCCATAAACTTTCAAACCAACAACCTTCCGGACCCACAAATTTCATAAACTTTCGAACTGCTAAACTTTCAGAACTGCAAAATTTCGAACCCGTAAACTTTATAATTTCTAAACCCGTAAACTTCCAAACACATAAACCTCCGAACTCATAATTTTGGAACTTGCAAAATTTTGAGCCTTTAAACCGATAAATAATAAAATTAAAACTGAAAAATATATTTACAATTTTTTTTTTCGGGGGGGGGGGGGGGTCGGGGTGGGGTCGGGGACTAAACGG